CCAATCGAGAATTTGTGGAAAGAACTGAAAACTGCTGTTCACAAACGCTCTCCATCCAACCTCACTGAGCTCGAGCTGTTTTGCAAGGAGGCATGGGCAAAAATTTCAGTCTCTCGATGTGCAAAACTGATAGAGACATACCCCAAGTGACTTACAGCTGTAATCGCAGCAAAAGGTGGCGCTACAAAGTATTAACTTAAGGGGGCTGAATAATTTTGCACGGCCAATTTTTCAGTTTTTTATTTGTTAAAAACGTTTGAAATATCCAATAAATTTCGTTCCACTTCATGATTGTGTCCCACTTGTTGTTGATTCTTCACAAAAAATTACAGTTTTATATCTTTATGTTTGAAGCCTGAAATGTGGCAAAAGGTCGCAAAGTTCAAGGGGGCCGAATACTTTCGCAAGGCACTGTATCTGCATATGTCATTCCTCCTCATAGGCACACAGGTCAGTCCAAAGAGGAAACATGTCAACCTCCAGAGTCAGAGGACGGAGGTGAAGAGGCCAAGAACTACACCAGTGTGGCCCCCACCATGTGGCTGGGAGCCCAGAACGGCTGGTTAGTCGCTCAGCTGAACCACTCACAGACTCACTGTCTCTTCAAACTTTACAGTCATTTCTTTTCTTTGGTTTGCACTGGGTAAACACATTAAAGTAACACTGTGAAATTCAGGTCAAATAAATTCAAAGCTTATATTTTTATGGTTGCGCCTTTATTTTGGTAAGAAGTGATCAGTCACTTTTTTTGGATAAGATTCCACAAAAGACCAAATAACTGAGCTTTTATCTTCCATCGTAAAAAAACACGTAAATGTCATGACATGCATTTTATGGACTGTTCTTTAAGTCTGGAGTAAGTTGGTTCTGTTTCACCCCCCCCAAGGCTCTACGTCCACTCGGCTGTTGGAAACTGGAAAAAGTGTCTCCACTCCATCAAACTTAAAGACTCGGTGCTCAGTCTGGTGTAAGTGGTGGTAACAGTTACATGGGATTTAAGTAAAAAACCATCAGTGTTTCCATACATTTCTGTTACTCCAACACTGTTTTCTCTCTAACGGCAGGCATGTGAAAGGTCGTGTGCTGGTTGCCCTTGCTGATGGGACCCTTGCCATTTTTCATAGATCAGAGGGTATATTTGGCATTATTAATATTTGTTTTAAAAGAGTTTGTATACAGCAGATTTCTAGTTGGTTCCAGGCACTAGCTCTGATGATTAAAACTACGCTGTGGATCTATACTTTTAATATCTGTGTTTTGTGTAGACATGAATGTTATCAGGAGCTGTTGTCAACTGTTTTCATTCAGTTTGTGTGGCTTTCTGTCACCAGATGGCCAGTGGGATTTGTCCAACTACCACCTAATGGACCTCGGCCGGCCTCATCACTCCATTCGCTGCATGGCTGTGGTCCATGATAAGGTCTGGTGCGGCTACAAGAACAAGATTCACGTCATTCAGCCCAAGAGCATGCAGATCGAGGTGAGACACAAATGAGTCCAACAATTAGCTGTTGTCTTTATAGTACAGCAGTTTTCACTGACGACGTTATTGTGATGACACATTGACTTAGTCGTTTTTCCTCTCTGTAGAAGTCCTTTGATGCCCACCCTCGCAGGGAGAGCCAGGTGCGGCAGCTCGCGTGGATCGGTGATGGTGTGTGGGTGTCGATCCGGCTAGACTCAACCTTGCGTCTCTACCACGCTCACACACACCAGCACCTCCAAGATGTGGACATTGAGCCATATGTCAGCAAGATGCTGGGTGAGATTATGGTGGAAATCTTGTCCTGAGAGACGAGGCAACTCACTTCATCTTTAGACTGACTGACTCTGGCTGTAATTCACAGGTACCGGCAAGCTGGGCTTCTCTTTTGTGCGAATCACCGCACTTCTGATCGGTGGAAATCGTCTTTGGGTAGGAACTGGAAATGGTGTGATCATCTCCATCCCACTGACAGAGAGTGAGTTTCATTTATGAACCTTAGCGCAATGGCAACACTATGAAACACAGTGTTAGTTACCTCTGCTAAGGGGGTGGATGTTACTCAGCAGAATATCCAAAAACCCCTTGACCATGACAAGCAGTTTGTTTTTAGTGTGGATTCTCTTAGCGCCACCATGTGGCTGCTCTTTGGCCCACAACTCCTGAACTGTGAGGTGTAGGTCTTTTTCTGGATTCCTCACTCAGAGACAAACAGGCTGTGCCTTTGCAGATTTACCACACATGACTGTCACAAGCAGCAGCTTTATCCCATTGTATCAAATCTAAACTCTTGTTTGGTAACCTAAACTAGCCAATCAGTTTTCTATCAAAAAGCAAAAATGAACGGGGTCATTTTTTTTCCTGTAGTGTTTCATTCACGCAGACACACACCCTCTCACACTGCAGCGTTGTTTATCTGTGTTCCTTAGACTTCTACCCATAAACTCCCCATCTTTTTTCCCACCTTCTGTTTTCCTTCCTTTCCTCAGTGGTTTCACCTCTTTCACAGTCTCGCTCCTAACCACACTGTTACTGTCCTCTTTCTCCTCCACTCTCCTCCAACCCTCCCCCTGTAGCGGTGGTCCTTCACCGGGGACAGCTCCTGGGTTTGAGGGGTAAGTGGGAGCGCTCCCGACCTCCTGCTGTTGTGAACTTGCCTTTTCTTGCCTGCCCTCACCTGGTCAAACGTCTACAGACCTCCTCAGCAGTGATATTACAGCTTGTTTAGCTCTCAGTCGGTCCTCTTTTATCTGTCAACATTTAGCTGAAGGTCTTTGTGCGGTGATTTTACTTTTTACACAGATCATTGGTTGCTTTGCATGCCATTTATCATTGTGGTTTATCGCATCACTGACTAAAAGATATGTTTGTATAAGAGACACACTCAGTGTGTTTTAGCTGTCTCAAATGTTTTTGAATTATCCTAAAAACATTTCTTATTTTCAGTTGATCTGTGGACAGATGTGGATTTTGTGGGTGTTTTTCTTGAAACGTTTCTTTGTCTGTGTCATGCTGCCACCTGTGATTTGCTAACATGTCTAAAGTAAACATTCCTGGTTTGGCGTCTCACTCCTGGACTCCCTCTCCCTCAGCTAACAAGGTGTCTCCAACATCCTCCGGTGGAGTGATCCACGTATACGGTGACGACGGCTCTGAAAAGAGTAGCGGCAGCTTCATCCCCTACTGCTCCATGGCGCAGGCCCAGCTCTGTTTCCATGGACACCGTGATGCCGTCAAGTTCTTTGTCTCTGTACCCGGTAGGAACAAAGAAGGTCCACCCGTGTGCTGATGCACCAGATGATCATACACGCTGCTTTTGTTCAGTTTTAGTGCATTCCTTTATTAGTCATGTTTATTTACACATGAAACATACCGCCAGCAATTTCAGTTTTTCTTACACACATCTGTAACTGACTACGTTTCCTAGCCTTTAACCTGTTTTTGTTTTTATTTTCCCTTGTGTGACAGGCAATGTTCTGGCCACCCTAAACGGTAGTGTGCTGGACAGTCCATCAGAGGGACAAGAGTCCACAGCACCCCCAGATACGGAGGCCCAGAGTGTTCAGAACGTGTTGGTGCTGAGCGGAGGAGAGGGCTACATCGACTTCCGTATAGGTGAGCAGTCACACCTGCACACACACAGCTCACACTGCAGGGTGCGTCACTGCTACCAGCAGAACAGTGAGAAGGTACTTTAAGGAGAAGGTTGGTTGTTTTCTATATTAACAGTACTTTCAACAGTCTCCATACAGAGACTAAAAGCAAGTGAATTGCCTCTACTCACTGTTAAAGGATAGCTTCAGTTTCTTTGAACCAACTATTTCCCCTAAAAGTGGGTAGAATGATAATTTCACTATCACTGCCTCCATTGTAAAGATTTGGGGAAACAAAAAGTTGCATTAAGCAGCATTATATCAGTTAGGCTCCAAGAGAGCTCAGAATAAACACGTCAGTCAAATCACTTTACACGCTTATCTCTCGGAAGGAAAGCAAATACAAGATTTGATCATCATGTGCAGTTAGCTGTGATGGCTATATCTTATACTTGCTTTCCTTCTGACTCTGAGATAAGCATGAAACATTATTTGAATGAAATAATGTTTATTCTGAGCTGTCTCGCTGAATAACTACTTGCCCATATAGCAAAATTAGCACTGGCTATAGAGTCCCCATAGCCAGTTTTAGGGGAAACACGGCAAATTAAGAAAAGTTATCCTTTAACATCCGTCAGTTTCCAACCCTGATTAGCTTCTTGGGCTGTGCCCTAGATCTCATCAGAGAAACATACCTCTGCACTCGGGACACGTTTCTTCATTATGAAACATATTAGTTCAAGTATTTGTTAAAAACATTGCCCCGGAGGCTCCGGATGGCCATGCAGCCTCTGAAGTCAGCTCTCTGCCTTGTTTCCAGTCTGTACCTCTTCTCTACCAAACACCAGGCCAAAGCTTCCTGTGAAATTTCAAAATAATAATCACATTTGACAGTCGTGTTCTTGATATTTCTAATACTGTTGCTGTAAACTGAACAGTTATGCTGTTTTTACAGTGCACAGTAAAATATTGTACCTTTTTATTGTTGAACTGCAGTCCAACTCTCAACTTTTTGTTTTTCACCCTCAGGGGACGGAGAGGACGATGAAACAGAGGAGGGAGAGAACGGTGGGGCTTCACAAATGAAGCCTGCTTTGTGTAAAGCTGAGCGGAGCCACATCATCGTCTGGCAGGTGTCTTACATACCTGAGTGACACCTGGATCTGCTTTAACGCACCACTCGCCTCATTAAAGCCCCCAGGCCTTGTAATTACCCCTGGTCATGTAAAAGTTTTGCCTTGGCTCTAAAACGACCCTCAAAGCCGTGTATTGTTCCTTGTAACTATTCTATCCAACCCCCGCCCCGTCACCTTGTAACTTTAATGCCTTGTAAGTACCTCCTCTGATCTAGTAATCTGCCTGTCATGCTGTTTGTCCCACCCAAGGCACTGTAACTATCTTCATGAGCCTTGTAACCCAGACTCATATCTACCTCCCTCCTCTATATTGATCTTATATTCACTCTGTAAACACACTGTATCTCCTCCTATATTTACCTCAACTGTCCTGCATCTGCCCCAGAGTTACTGCTGCTCTTCCTTCATTTAGTTTCTCACCTATGGACCTTCCAGTTCATCTTAAAGCAAAGAGCAGAGCACCAATATGCCACAGCTGTACCAAAACATGAATGACAACAGTGACTTGCATTTCAACAAGATATCAGGTCTGATTAATGCAGCAATCCATTACCGTGTTTGGCATGAGATGACCCTTGATTGTTCAATAGTCTTTGACAGCATTCAGAAAACTTGTTTCAGCTTTAAGGTTGTTGCAGATGGTTTTTAGAGGGTAAGTGAAGATCAGTAAACATGAGACAAACAAAGCCAAATTCATGTTAAAGGGTTCTTTTGGCCAGTACCTAAAATACTTTGCATCCCATCTTACCTCTATTTTGAAACATCCCGATTTAAGAACATGTTACATCAAATGAAAATAGGTCCCCATTCCCCCTCCCCACAGCAGCCCAGTGTAAATCAGAGGACTCAGTTCAGTGAGGTCTGACCAAGGGGTTGAATTTAACACGTCGACAGTTCAGTCTAAAACTCATTTCTATCATCTGACGGGTTGGTGCGAAGCAGGTGAACGGCGGCACTGTCATTATGTGTACAGGGATTATTGTAAATGTCCAGACACACTGAAGCTGATCCTCTTTGTTCAGTATGGAAATTCATGCATTGATCTCTGTGTGGATTAAATATTAAACGTGTGCTGAATAAAATGCATGTGCATCTCTCTTTACACTAAGCAATGTTTATAAAAGGATGGCAAGATCAGATTTAACATTTCCCACAGAATCCACAGCATTTTAGAAAAGCCTCAAGGTGACCAAATCTTTTTACAAAACAATACATAAACAAATTTCTTTCAGCACAAATTCACTTAGAAACTGAGCCTGGCAACTTAAATAAAACCACCGGAAACCAGGAAATAAAACCAGGAATGCATTAAACATATTTTAAAACTTCTACCCATAATTAGGTTCAAGTAGTTTCAAGCGATACGAAGAATTGGAATTTAAAAGACGTACAGGGAACTGAAAATCAAAAGTGGAATAAGGCAATAACTGTGTTGGTTAATTGCTCTTTATTGCTCCCCTTCTACAGAGGAAATGTAGATTTGGCAAATTTTTCACCTTGAAATTAATGGCACTTATTCCAAGTGACAGTGCAAGTGTCAGTTTTCAGACAAAAAATAAAGCTGGCAACTAATTTAGCTGTTTGACTGATCAAATACTTTGCACTGTGTTAAGTGGGGCGGCTGTGGCTCAGGAGGTAGAGCAGGTCGTTTCCTAACCGGAGGATTAGCAGTTCGATTCCCGTCTTGTCCAGTCAACATGTCGAGGTGTCCTTGAGCAAGACACTAAACCCCCAGTTGCTCCCGGTGATGTCACCAGTGCGTGAGTGCGAATGGGTGAATGGCCGAATAATGTGAAAGCGCTTTGAGTGTGCTGTAAAAGCGTAGAAAGACGCTATACAAGTATAAGACCATTTAAGTTTGGTCAAGTTGTTAACTCTGCAGCCATTTTCCCAACGTGCTTTCTCATGACAAACATAACGAATCGTGACCTTATTGCTTCAAACCAATGTGATTTTTTAAAACTAACATGAGCTGGTGTTCTGGACTAAACAAAAACACAAGCAGACACTGTTAAGTCATTGCTCACTTACTGCACTTCACTCTGTCATGTCAGCTCACCTCAGAAACATACAGATACAAAAACATTTGAAAATGTATGAAAAAAGAAGCATCAAGCAAGGCAGCGATGACACGTCTGTGGCTACAAGCTATTAAAGCCAGACACATACTCCTCTGAGGTATGATACGATCCATCTTGTAGTGACTGATACGACGACAGGACAGGACGGCAATCAGTTGTAGATCCACTGGCTGCTGCCATCCTCCCAGCAGTGAAGCTCGTTCTGGTGAAACCACAGAGAGATTTCCTTCTGGGCGCTCTCCACAGAGTCGCTGCCGTGGATCACATTCCTGCAATGCGGAGTTGACACAAAAGCGATCAGGACACTCACACAAACTCCGGAAACTACAACCCCCCCAAGAAGCGCCTCCCCCAGCCATAAAAAATAAGGATTCTGAATTTTCTTAAATAATGTTGGTCCTTTTTTTTGTTTGTTTCAATCACCTGGTTCTATTTTTGTGTCAGGATTATTTAGTCATTGCCACAGTCAGGTCAGATTCCTACATTTAGACAACAAAGGTAAATGCATTAAAATAACCAGGCACAACACCAGAAGACAAACTACTATTAATAATGTCCAAGACCGTGCCTCCAATGCAGCCTTATACTGGACTCTGTGGCCCCGATGAAAATCGTGCGGCCTAAAACTAGGATGGAACCCTGGCTTGGCACTAG